CCCCCCCGGCCCCCCATCCCCATGGCCCTGACCCGGTCGCTCCTGCAGCAGGAGAGCGGGGCCGTGCCCCCCGCCGAGCCCCCCACCCTCAGCGACAAGGAGCTGGACGACATGGAGACGCTGGAGCTGGATGAGGAGGAGGAGCTGGACGTCTCCTTCGGCCCCACCACCGGGCTGTACCCACAGCGCCCACGGGGCAGCTGCGCCCGGGTGAGACCCCCCTGCCCCCCCTCTCGGGGTCTGGGGACTTTGGGGATGCCGGGGCTGTCCTGGGATGTCACACGGAGTCCTGGGATGTGGCACAGGGCAGGGAAGGGGCACAGGGTCCTGGGATGTGACACAGAATCCCAGAATGTGACACAGGGTCCCAGGACGTGGTACAAGGTCTCCCAGCCCCAAACACTCCCGTGGGGGTGGGATATGGAGCCCACCCCCGCAGTGCCACCCCCCTACCTCATCCCCTCCCCTCCTGTCAGGACCCCATGCCCTGTTCCCGCAGTGGGGTGAGGGGTCCAGCCTCTGTGTCCCCCTTGCTGGGTGCCAACCCCCCTGTCCCCCGCAGAGCCCCAGCCTGCTCAGCCCCCCCGCCGGATACATCCCCATGAACCAGCCCGGCCTCGGCAGCACCCGCCTGGTACCGGGGGGTCGGGGGGTGAGGGGCCAAGGGGGGGCTCAGGGGGTTGGCCAGGCTAAAGGGGGACCATGGGGTGCCAGAGCAGGGCATGCAAGGGGGTGACAATGGGAGGGGAAGCCGTGGCTGTGGGGTGGCAGGGAGGGGGAGTTTGGGTCCCCCCACTCAGCCCCATGTCCCCCGGGTTGCGGGGGGTGGTCAGATCCAGGGGGGTCCCCCCTCACCCCTGTGTCCCACAGGGCAGGGGGAGATGTCAGATCCAGAGGGGTCCCCCCTCTCACCCCCGTGTCCCCAGGGCGGGGGGTCCCGGGGCAGTGGTGGGTTGGGGTCCGCAGGGCCCCCCCTCACCCCCGTGTCCCCCAGGGCGGGGGGTCGCGGCCGCTGCGGCGCAGCCGTCAGGAGTCCCTGGGCCGGACGGTGTCGGAGTCGTCGGAGGGTCGCGGCACCGCCTCGGAGCTGGACCTGGGCGAGGGCGGGTCCCTGTCCGGGAGCCTCTGTCGCAGCCTCCGCTCGCGGGGGGACAGCGCGTACCTGTCCCAGCGGGAGAGCTTCCCCCCCCCGCCCCCCAGCTCCGAGGGCAGTGAGGAGGATCCCAACGGATACGTGACCCCCAACTGCGCCCAGCGGGGTGAGGGGCGCGGCCCTGGCGGTGTCCTTAGGGGTGGGGGGCCCGTCCTTTGCAGAGGGGGTCCCATCCCACTGGGGCAGGTCTGGGGGCTCCCCCATCATGGGGGGTAGGGAGCCCATCCCTGGGGAGGGTTCCATCCCTGCAGGGGTTGGGATTCAGGGGCTGGGGAGCTCCTGTGGCTGGGGGGAGGGGGCAACCCATCCCCAAAGATCGAGGGGGTCTGTCCCCAATATTGGGGGTGGAGGGACCCATCCCTGCACGGTGGGGGTGAGGGTTGTGGGGTGGGATGAGCCCAGATGAGACCCCCCCCCAAACCTAGGGGAACAATTC